AAAACCATTCACTGTCACTATTCCTAATTCCCAAAAATGGGTGTTGCTTCACTCTCTCTGTACTCCATCTTCATCATCTTAGCCTTCATTACATCCTTGGATGCCGAAGACGAAGCAGGTTTCACAGAGTGCAGTCAACCCTTCAACTGTGGCACCTTCAAAAACCTCTCTTATCCTTTCTGGGGCGACAATCGACCTAAACATTGCGGGCATAGTGATTACAGACTTAGATGCAAGGAAAATATTCAGCACCCCGTTATGGAAATCAATGGCCAAGACTTCTTTGTGATCGAAATCAATCAATCTGGCAAACCCCGGATGATAACCCTTTCGCGAGTACATCCTTGTCCCACTTCCATTCCCATTCCCATTCCCACTCCCACTCCCACTCCCTTGAATTACCCTCCGTTTATTCTTCTTACAGCAACTGAGAATATGACTCTGTTTAGCAACTGCTCTAAGTCCGCCCTCTCAAGGAAAATGACAAATACTTCACATACAATTCCCTGCCCCGCTGATGGTAAACCGCGCAACGTCTCCTTTATTGTGAGGGCTAATAAAACGAGGCTTGTGGGTTGTCGAGAAAAAGTGGAAGTTCAGGTTCCAAAAGAGGCTCTTGATGAATTTAATTCGGGACATCTGGATTTAAGTGGAACCTTGCTAAGACCGTTTAACGTACAATATAGTGCCTATGATGACTACTGTTACAAATGTTTGCGCTCCGGTGGAAGTTGTGGATCCAATCGAGCTTCTTCATTTGTATTTGCTTGCTACTGTCGCGACCGACCTTATGATGTAGAATGCGGTAAGGATATGTACTGCACAATAATCTTCATTTCAATTACTGCTCTTAGTTTATACAAAATGTTTGTTAATGAATAGTTATTAATCCATTGAAAATTGAGTTAGTTTGGTCTTCTTGGGTCAGTTTCTAATCCTTTTTCACTAAGACCCAGTTAATTTTTGCAATTAGCTTTACAGTAAGATAAACTGTGTGAAGCGGAATGCTAATGACTTATGTCAAAAGTACGAATCCAAGGTTAGGACTTAGAATTAGAAGGGTATGTTTCTTTTGGCAGTTGGTGGAATGTTTTCAACTTGTTTATTTCAGTAGTCCTGTTAAGACCCTATTTTTGACATTCAGTGCATTGGTGGGTCTCCTTTGGATGTAGTCCTCTTGCCTGCTTTGAACATGTCAATGGTCCCATTCATAGGAACTTAAAACACGCTAACTGACTGCATTTGTCCCCCCAACCTTAACGTCAATGCCGATCTTCTCTCTATATAGTGAAATGTGAATGCTTGTATTTTAAATATTCGATTCTCTTCAAATTTCGATCTAAAACCCATCTTGGTCTTTCATTCAGCATATCTTTGTGTGTCTGTTATTTATTGGACTATTATTTTCTCCAAAGTTTTGTTTTAGAATGCAATTAAAAGAAGTGGCAATAGACATCTCTCCTTTTCTTTTCTAATTATTATCTTATACAAAAGTCTCCTTCCTGATGTGGGTTCTCCTTCCTGTTCAATCAACCAAGTCTCTCTTAAGTATTTCCAATCTTATTATCCTACAAAAAGTGCCCCACCTAATGTTCTACTTTCTTTTATGCCCTCAATTAGTATTTGTTAGGTATGATTATTTTCATACTAGGGATTTTCCAATTGACCAATTCCAAAAGGCAGACTACGTCTTTTATTATATCATACTGATGTCACAATTTATGAAAGAGGGTTAACTTTGGAGTCCAGGGTTTTCCTTAACATGAAATTGGACACCCAAATTTATTCCACTGATTGAGTTTTCTTCTCATAGAAATTTCCTGTCAATTTAGCTTAACATGTGCTAACAAAGCCATTGACTTCTTCGTATTTGGCTGCTTTTTCTCATTCTGGTTTCTGCTCAGGCTTAGTAAACTTGTCTGTGGGCCTATTGTGCTCATTGGAGCAAATCTTTGGTTTTTTTTTTTTTTTTTTGATGGAAAATGAATAAATAGCCTCATTATTACAATTAGAGCCCGGAGCGATCTAAACCAAACACCCTTCCATGAGACACCAGGCGAAGCTAACTGAGCAATCTTATGTGCTAACTGATTACAGTTTCTATTAGCTACTTTAAAAATGCATGAGTTTGAAACATTCAGCTCTAGCTCGAAGGTCATCTACTACTGCTCTTATTGAGAGGAAGCATTCATCCCTTGAGTTCACAACAGCTGCTGCCTGTGAACTATCTGTTTCTACCATCACATCTTTGCATCCTAACTCCTTTCCTAACTGAGCAGCAAAATAAATGGCAAGGATTTCAGCATGAAAACTGGGTCCTTTAAAAGGTAAGACCTTCAACCCACTACCTAAAACAGTCCCATGGCTATCTCTGAGGACAAAATATGTAATTTTAGAGTCTGATATGAGGATCAACACATTAGTTTTAAAGTCTAAACAATTATTTTTTTCATTTTTTCTTGTCATGATTTCTCTGGGAGTATCTACAGTTTCTATAATGTTCTCACTAAATGCGTTTCAAAGTCTAGTTGTTAGGCACCTCCCCTCCACACCTTGTATAGTAGTTTGTTGGCTAATGGATGCATGGGTTCAGAAATGCATCATTGTTTTGAATACGATAGGAGTCCAGCCGGACAAAGAAAAATGATATAGTAAACAATCCTTGCTTTTTCTTCTAAACTTCTGTTTTGTCCTTCTCTTGTTTTCAAAAATGATGAATTTTAAGGAAATAAAACCAAGTCATACCAACCACCATGGAATTTTTGTCCCAATGCTTCCTTCCATTTTGTCTCCATGTCTCTTCCCTGTATTGTACTTCCTCCATTGCTTTCCCAGAGGATGGATCCACAAAGCTTCTCCATTTTGAGAAAATTTCTTCAGAGATGTATTGTTATCATCTTTTTGAGCATCCTAGCTAATGAAAGTCTGTCCCTTGACTCAAAATTTGAGGCTTGTGTGCCTCGATCATGTGGAAATGGCCCCAATGTTAGCTATCCTTTTTGGATTTCTGAGGAACAAGATTCATTTTGTGGCTGGCCAAACTTTGAGATCACCTGCAAAGACAAAAGTCCAGTTCTTACTATTTCTGAAGATCATTATATCATCAAAGATATATTCTACAACAACAATTCATTGCTTGTGGTCAGTGTTGTGGTCTATGAAGAAATATGTCCAATTCCTCTGCAAAATTTTACTCTTCATCGAACTCCATTCAACCTTAGTTCTGATAATTTCAATTTTTCCTTCTTATATAACTGCACTAAGCAGCCAGTTTACCCTACATACTATCCAGTAAGTTGTGCTGGCAATGCTTCCCTCCATTCTTTTGCTGTTCTCAATAAAGATGTTTTGGAGCACATGAACTACTCATTGAAGTCATGCCAGTCTTTTGTTAATGCCCCAATTTTGGGAATGGGTAGTAACTGTAATCTCACTAGTCTGGTGAGAACAAATTATTCTGAAATCTTGAAGATGGGTTTCCTTTTGAATTGGACTGCGCATAGTTGCAGCAATTGTGAGAGCAGTGGTGGGCGCTGTGGATTTGATGACCATCAGTTTATTTGTTTTTGCCCAGATAAGCCTCATTCCAAAACTTGCAATGATGGTAACTATATAGAAAATTCACTGTTATCCAATTGTTCATTCAACTTTTTTTCTGTAGTTTTTCTGCCTAGCAAACTCAATTTTAGCTTTCTCCAATTATATTGGTTGATCTTGTACTGTGATTATAAGTTTGTTGTGTGGCAGCTTTGACAACCACATATTGAACTCAGAGCCATTAGGTAGTCTGAGAGAATGAAATATTTTCTGCCTGGAAGTTTTGGATTAGCAACTTGTGTGCCTCATATATGAACTGCAGTTCATTCCACAATTGCATGGCTTCTGAGTATTATCAACGTTTGCTTTTGAGGACCAAGTTAACCATTTGGCAACGCATTCATCCCATATGATTCTAAATTAAGTTTTTTAGATCCAATTTTTCACTTTTTTCTTATACCTTCCCTATAACTTTGTGTTATTCTGAAATCTGAAATGATCTGTGTGTTGCTGACTGAATCTTTGTCACAATGAATCTATTGGCTCCACAATCTTAGAACACATGGTTTTCAGTATGGAAATGTAACAGGAATATTATCCATCATGCAGTTATGCTTCCGCCAAGTTTTACAAACAAAATATCTCTATGCTTGAAAGTATTAATTAAAACAAAATTTTGATTATATAGTTTTGAAGAAGTATGGCAACTTTTGGATTGCACAATTTGCCTAAACCATTATTTGCCTTTAATGTCTTTATTTTCTAATTCTTCCTTACTTTCTATTGTTACAGCCACAGGCGATGATAATAGATGGAAACGGAAACTTGCTATAGGTAATTTGACTCAATGATCTTTTTTGTTTGTCTGTTTCTTACTCGTGGCGTTTGCATGCAGATTTCTCGTTGAAAAAACAGACAAATGTTTAGTGTCACCATCTTACGATTTCCACCTCATTCACACAGGTCTTGGCTGTGGTTTTTTTGGAGGCGTAGTTCTAACATGCATTGTGTTCAAATTCCTCCTTCGGCGCAGAAGAGTGCTCAAAGATGCTCGATCTTCCTCAGTTACACATGAGATATCCTCGGCACCGGCTTCACTGACTGATCCTGGGAAAGGAGGTAACTACCCTGGAGTGCATAACTTCACCTATAATGAACTTGAAGAGGCCACCAATAAATTTGATTCTGCCATGAAACTAGGTGATGGAGGCTTTGGCACCGTGTATTAT